GAACAGGACAGTCTCAGTTATAGACAAAATGTGACGCATCCCCCTGAAGCAATCCTGGAAAGCTTTAAACAACGGTTATTTGGAGACAATATTGTCCACTATTGGTTAACTGGAGGTACATTGTCCATTATATCAATAGATATTAGTTGGTTTGGATGGTGAAGGAGAGCATGCGTTGTGGTGGGGCTCTGGCTTTGGAAAGCTCTTAATACATGGATCATGACTTCATTGCAAAAAACAAACAACAAAAACAAGTTAGCTACCTTGAGTAAAAAGCCCAGGGAAGGCAAAGCAAGTTTATCTTTAGCACAACTTAGTAGGATGAGCTAAAAAGTATAAAGAAGTTCTAAAGTTTGACTTGATCTGCAAATTTGTACTCAAATTACACCACTTGACTAACTAACAACAAAGAAAAGTACATTCCAGCATCAAGTTATTCTCACAATACACTAAAATAGACTATTGCCCCTCCCAGGAATAGTTTGTAAAATTGTTTTAATTTATTTAGAGGTGAGTTCTTGAGGTCATTTACTGATGAATGATATCTCCTTCTGCAGCTAAGTTCTGTTGCTGTTACTGTTTTTACTTGTTTTGGTAGACAACCTAGAGTCTTTTTATAGGATGTTAATATTTCTTATTTGAATTTCATTTTATGATGGCTTCATGAATGGCATGGAGTTGAGCAACTCAAGCTCAACTGGGATAATAAATCTTTTGGTCTTTTCCTCCCAGTCCTCCTTGCTACCCTTGCTTGATAAAAATGAATAATACCACTATCCTTCATGTCACCTGGGCCTATAATGGCATCATTCTCATTCCAGGTTAGGATTAATTCTTATCAATTCTTTCTGTATAATATATCTAGGATAGAGGTGTCAAACGTCAGTTGGGGCCCTGAGGTGGATCTGGGCTACAGAGCTTCCTGTGGGCCAGATCCATTCTGGGGCACAAGGGCTGCTGCAGTGGCTGCCATGACAGCAGCTGCACAGGGTCCAGTAGGAGTGGGAACACTTAAGGGTCCAGCAAGGGCTGTGCAGGGTCTGGTAGTGGTGGGGACAGGGACAGTGCAGGGTCCAGAGGTAGTTGGAGTGGAGGTGGTGCACAGTCTGGCAGTGATGGGAGTAGTGCAGGGTTCAGTGAGTTTGGGGATGGAGGAAGTGCAGGGTCTGGTGGCAGGAGAAAAGGGTCTGGTGGGGACAGCAGGAGTGCAGGGTCTGGCAGCAGTGAGCCAAGCTCACTGCTGATGGCCATGCCCTACAGAACCAAAGGGCCCAACTTCTTTGGTACCCTCTGGTAGCCCAATAGAGAGGCTCCACTGGACTGAATGTGGCCCATGGGACATATATTTGATGCCCCGATTTTAAGATACTGACTTTTCTATCCATCCATAAAACAAAATCTCATGTCCAGACTCTCATTATCTCAGTTTCTGATGCATCATTTCCTCTTTCCTCAGCAAATGCAGCCCTGCCTTGTTTGTATCCAGTTGGAATGTTGTCACAAAGATGATTGTGGTTTGTCACTGTGGACAATATCATCCTCTGATTCTGCTTTATTTTTCACCTCAAGCATAAGCTGAATGCTTTTGCTTTCAAGGCCCTTCACAGCAGAGCTGTAACTAGCAATTCTGGCATCCTGGGTGGGAGATGCTGTATAGCCCCCCCTCCATCAGAAAAAAAAAAATCACTCATGCCTCAATGCATATATTTGACCACTTTTTTAAATTAATTCCAGAACCTACAAAATAATGTGCTTTACATTCAGCAAGATGTGTTATAGTAGACCCTTCAGATCAGCAATCACAGAAAAATCTGTGTTACATTACTTTGTTTGACTTGTTGGAAAAAGTAATAGTTGAAGTGCCTTTCCAGAAATTAAGGGACAAGGAATTAATTATTTCCTTCAAAGTTGGAAGCAGCCTAAATACTGTCTGAATTTGGTGGTAAAAAACATAGAAAAGATGAGAGACTCAATGAGAAAAGCAAAAGCAAAAATCATATTTTGACACTGATTTTTGGCAGAGGCAAACTCATTGATCACTTTGTCACCGTTGGTAAGTGTTCGTGGTCAATGGACAAAATTGCCAAATTAGAAGGGTGCTCTTGCCCCATTGTAGAATGTGCATATGTTTTCACCAGCTTTAGCTTGTTGAAGTTCCTCTCACAGGAAATCATTATTACTGATAAGTTCATAAAGTTATGTTACTTCAGAATGTTTTTGGGCCACCACCATATCTAAAGCAAGCTAAAAAAACAGACAATTTCTAAATTTATTTGAAATGATGGCCAACATAGCTTACAGGGACAGCTGCACCTCTGTTTGCCACCAGTTTCTCCAAGCACATGACTTCTGGCTAGGCCCAGGAGTTTTGTCCCAGTTTATCATATACTGTTGGTAAGCTAGGTAGACTTAGTTTCCTCAGACCCAAGGAGGTGCTTGAATGCACAGCTTTGAGATGCCCTCTCTTAACAAAACCTGCTCCAATCATTCTGTTTGTTGTATTAGTGGGCTTTGGCTGTTCTGAACAAAACTATTTTTTCAATATAGTTATGAGTTTGCAGGCAAGATATGAAATCATCAGAGTTAACAAGTTGGGCATTGTCCCTTAGCAACTTCCAACCGTTTGTTGGAAGGTGATATATTTAAAGCCATTTTTTTCTCATCTTGCTTGTGTTTCCTCAAAGTTTCCTATTAAACTAAACCAAGAAATAAACAGTAAACAACTCAATATCCAGGTCAACATATGTTGCTTATAAATTACTGTACTTTCTCACATACAACATACACTTTCCCCCAACCCCCTTCCTCCATTGGGATATGTGAATTCAGCAGGGAACCTGGCTTTCTAACTGGGATAGGAGCAACCCGTTGATTTCTGTTTCACAGCACAGTAACTGTTGTATTACTATTCAGGCTTAGGGAGTCCATTGACTTAATATCTAATTGTTCTTCATGCCAAAGGTATTAATGATGGTTTCTCCTTTTTTAATTGGTTTGATGTACCACTAATCAAGCTAACTTTCCTCAGGGCAATTTTCCTGTCTGCCAGCTGCTTCTGGCCTCTCTTCTTCCATTTCACAACCTTGGAGACTCTTTAATGCTTTTAAAATCATAGATGCACCCATGGGGATGAGTTCTGGCAACAGCCACTGTTTCAGCTTTAGTTAAGCAGGTCAGAGAAGGCGAGTAAACTGAAGATTAGGCTCTGTCCCTGCTCTATGCAGCCACAACTCTGGGGGAATAAAAACATTTTTTTTCATTCTACTTTTCAAAAACATGGTGTGTATTACTGTATTTACTTGAATCCAAGATGACTTCGAATTTTAGATGCCCCCCCATAATTCAATTTTATTTATGCAAAATTATAAATTTGTTATAATTTTCCATGTATGGAAGCTAATTAGTGGAAGGTCATCTTAAATTAGTCTCTCCACTGCTGTGGTAGGGAAAGCAGGGGCAGGGGACAACAAGCCAGACCCCTGCCCCTTGCCTCTCCTGCTTGGCCCCCTGTGCCCCCTGCCTCCCTTCCTTCTACATGTCCACCCACCCCTTCCCCCCCTGTGCCTGTGGCCGACCCTTGCTGCTTACCTTCTGTTGTTTTGTTCTTAGTGGCCCTGGTCCAGCCCCTTGCTGCCTGGCCAGGCAGCAGCAGCAGTTTTGGGCCTGGGCAGGTTGGGGCTGGAGGAACCAGAACAGAAGGTAAACAGGAGGTGGGGCAGGTGTCACAGTCTCTCTGTACTTCACAAAGCTGTACAGGCGGGTCTCGCATATGCGATCCCCTCCCTCCATATGGTCTCCACCATGCTTCCTTGGCTCTAAGACACCCTGCCCCATTGCATGAGCCATCATGACCTGGGTCAGGTGGTAGCTCAGCTTTGGCTTCAGATCTGAGCCCAGGGCCAAAGTTCTAGCTGAGCCACAACCTACCCCACGTCAGTATTAAATTATAACATGAAGCTTTTTTCCCCCCTGTGTTGTTTGGGGGTGTAGAAAACCTCATCTTGGATCTGAGTAAATATGGTATATTCCAGGTATGTTGTATGTGAGAAAATATGGTATAAAGCTGCTCCAATTCTATCTATGAAAATGCAAATGTGTGATAGTGAGAATCAGAGGCTATGGGAGACAATAGGTGTTAGACAGGTAGGTGGGGGTGGGGGGGAGAGGGAATGTTGACCTGGTGGTAGAATGTAGCTGGTAAAATGTAGAGAGATTCCCTGGGGTTATCGGATGGCAGGCAGGTTAATGCATTTGAGCCTGAAAACTTGCAAAGAATAATTTTTCCAACCATTTAGCTACAACCAACACTCTTGAAACATTTGGGGTTGGCAATCTATAATACATTCTTTATGAAATCATCACCTACTTCTTTCTTACCTAGAACAGCAGTTATTGGTTTGCAACTTGAAAATAATTTCCACAGATTGATTTGGGTATGTCAGACATCTGTAGCTATTAATGAATAGAATTAATACACACACAATTGCTAGTATCTTGAGCTTGGCCTCTTCACTAAGGTATATGTGTCTGGTGGCAGGAGGGAATCATGCTTTCTGATGAAGTCACAAAGTTCCAGGCCAAAGATGACATGGAAAAATGTCCCCATTTCATTGTGGCAACTGCTGTTTTTCAGTCACACACAAACAAACAAAAACATTAACAAAACCTGACTTTTGAATTAATCAGTAGGTTTATGTTTAGATGTACCAGTAATGCAGGAAAATGTCTCGTAACTTAGGAATTATTGGCCTTGGCATGCCTGTGAATCAGGTTTAAAGTATCTAAGTTGAATGTGCAGAAATGGTTTGAGGTATACAGATTTTATATTCTAAAAAGGGGAAAAGGGAGAAATGGAGCCATGCAAAATTAGTTTACTTGGGTAGCTGTAAGTTCTCATTGTTGTCTCTTAACTAAAAGATTCAGAATGAAGTGTCTCCATCGAATCTGAGCACGTTTACTGCATCCATTTATTTTCTTATTATGTTTGTTTTTCCTCCTAGGCATCCAGTGGGAACTACTATTTCATTCCCTATATAGTAACACCTTGTGCCGATTATATTTGCTGTGAAAGTGATGCCCTAAGGAGAGCCTCTGAATACATGCAGCCTAATTGGGACAATATCCTGGGACCTCTGTGTGTTCCACTGATGGACAGGTTCATCAGCCTTCTCAAGGACATTCATGTTACATCATGGTAATTTTACCTCACGTGCACCTTGCTGCACCTGAATAATCTTTTCTAGTATGGGAGGGCCATCTGAACCAGCAGGGTTTGACTTTGTGTTGCTTAATTTTTTGCCAAAAGAAATAGATTAATTTACTGTAAACTGTGCCACAGTCTTGCAGCTGTTGTAGTAAATTAGCTGTGTTATTACGACAGCAATGATTTATACATACTTTCCAGAACTCAGTAAATAAAGTCAGAACTGCTGACACAGCGCTTGGAAAGCCAAGTGTAACCTATAGAGCTTGTAGTTGTTACAAGAAAAAGAGTTGTACTTCAGTTTCTTTACAAGCCTTGAAACCAAAGACCATGTGTTTTTCAGCACGAGGTAAGGTGTGCAAACAGTATGGTTTTAACTCTGATTAACTTTTCAGTACAGGATTAGCACTTCTCTATCACTTGACTTTCCTACCCACCACAGTACTACATATCCCCTATATTGTTATAGAATAAAATTGCCAAAACCTTTTGCCAGTTTGTGAGCAGATGCATAAGGGTGAACACTGGTTCCAGCTTGCTGGCATGGGGAGAGAATTTGGCACCCATCTTGTAGCACAGTGTCTTTATGTTTCTATGCCTGCATGCAGTGAAGTTCTGGCAAAGAAAATCAGCTTCCCCAGGTTTGGAAGGCTGATTTTAAGGAGAAGGTGTGTGGGTGCGTGAGTAAAAATGGTATTCACAGAATGATGGTCTGGGATCCAGCTGCCCCACAGTGATTAATGCTACTTGTTTAGTAACACTTTTTGGTACCCCTCTATTTGTTAGGTATTGTCTGCTGCCTATCCTGCAACTTTTCCCATTTCCAAATAAAAATATACTGTAGTTTTTGCTTTTGTTGATGCAAACCAGTCCTACTTCTCCATCTATTAACCTATAACAACAAGGCAGCTGCTACATTATTGCATATATTCCATGGGGTGGATAAACTACCTGATATTTCAAGACAGCACCTTTTCAACAATGGTGATTATTCAGATTGTGCCTCAGTTGCACACAAGCTTGATTTGGATCTATGTATACCATGGTTTGAAAATGTGCAATACAGACTTAAATAAGGCTGTCATAGGTATCTATCCTTGATGACTACAAGGTTCTTGGATTGCAACTCTACTCCTGAGCTGAGTTGGCATCGTTCTGTGGAGCTCAAATTTAAGTTAATGCATTTTATGCACTATGACAGCTACTATGAAATACTTGGTTCTTGAGGTTTCCTAGATATATTTTATATTAATTTGAAAGTAACTGGATATAAAATTATGTTTTGACTTTTCTGTTTGTTCTGTTTCATTCACAAGCATATTAATAAAGAGAGTAGATTTGGGTGACTCGTTCAGTATATTGTTTGTTTTGTTGAGGAACTTCCAGTCAAACTCTAATCTTAAAAAGCTTTATAAAGTGCCTTAGTCATTTCTGATAATGAGATTTTAGGTGAGAACAGAAAGAACATTTATACTGTCTTCAGTGTCCTTAAACTACTTTTAAAACTTCATGGACAGATGACACAGACTTGTAACCAGTATTCCTGATTGGTGTGTCAAATCACCCTGTGATAAAACTGGTTTAAATTGTTATTGTCAGTTAGTATGTCCATGTCAGCTAAACAGAATCACATGTGCCTCCCCCCAGGATTCAGCTGACCCCCTCTGTAACCTGTCCTGCTTTGGAGTCAAAGGTACCACATATGGTGTACCCCTTTATATGTCAGGTGCAAAGAAATGACATCAATCGATTCTAAAATCATAGAATCGTATATAATTATGGTTAGAAGGGACCTCAGGAGGCCATCTAGTCCAACCCCCTGTTCAAGACAGGACCATCTCCAACTAGATCATCCCGGCCTAAGTTCTGTCTAGCCAGGTCTTAAAAACCTTCAGGGATGGAGACTCCACCACCTCTTTGGGTAACCTGCTCCAGTGTTTTACTACCCTCCTCATGAGAAAGTTCTTCCTAATATCCAACCTAAGCATCCTTTGCTGCAACTTGAGACCATTGCTCCTTGCTCTGTCATCTGCCACCACTGAAAACAGTTTAGCTCCATCCTCTTTCGAACCCCCTATTCAGGTAGTTGAAGGCTGCTATTAAATCCCCGCTCAGTCTCCTCTTCTCTAGATTAAATAAGCCCAATTTCCTCAGTCTTTCCTCATAAGTTGTGCGCCCCAGCCCCGCAACACTTTTGTTACCCTCCACTGGCCCCCAGACTGACCCCTGGGGCACTCCAGTTGATACTAGCTGCCAACCAGACATTGAGCCATTGATTGCTACGCTCTGAGCCTGATGCTCCAGCCAGTTTTCTATCCACTTTACAGTCCATTCTTCCAGCCCATCCTTCCTTAGCTTGCCTGCGAGAATGGTATGGGAGACTATCAAAAGTGTTGCTAAAATCAAGGTATATCTTGTCCTCTGGTCTCCCCACATCCACAGAACCAGTCACCTCATCATAGAAAGCAATTAAGTTGCTCAGGCATGACTTTCCCTTGTGAATCCATGCTGGACTTGCCCAATAATGTGCAAAATGCTGCCTTGGCATCTGCATGAGCACATTTGCTCCTTCTGTGAAGAGCTGTCCAGCATCCTTGCCAATGATGACACCTTATAACTGTGCTTCCTCTGTGATCCTAAATAAGACTAAGGAGAACTTTTGATGTGGACTGCTCGGAGAGGACCCAGTGTGAGGGCAGGGCAGCAGAGATCCTGGTGAAAGTCTAGCCCTCTTCTACACAAAAGCCCAGCCCTCTTCTGCACCATGAGCTATCGTACACTGAGTCATGGCAACTTGGGCAAGGGCCAAGACATCTGTACTGACATCAGTTGACATCCAGCTTCCCTCAGTTCAGCCTGTCAAAACACCTGCTGGCTTAGGTATCAATAATATAGGTGAGGAAATTTAGCATCAAAGAAACCTCTTTCTCAAAAGACCTTCAAACATTTGCATCACATCTTTGTACTGCAATATAAACTGACTCTAGTGAAAATTGTTACTGTGGATTTTATGTGCGTCCTGAGTATGCTTTTTGTGAAGTAAATGACAGAGTCAGGTAATGCATGACTTGTTTCTGCTCCACTTTATTTTATTAGCACTGTTATCTTTATATCTTTTAAAGATGAAGTATTTAATTTTATTTGCATCACTGTTCACTCCGCTCAGTGTGCCACTTCAATGCTCCCTTTCTGCTTTCTTCCTGATAAAGACATGGATTACTGTGTTTATTTGGAGGAATAACCAAGCAAGGTACATTAAAGACTAATTAAAAAATTATAATATTTAAGAAATATTTGTAATGAAATTATATTAAAGCATAAACTGGAATACATGACTCATTCTGATAAGGAAATGTTACTGCTCTTTGGTAGAGTAACCAAATCTCTATTTAGAAGATTCTAACACTTGTTTAATATATTCATTATTTAGTGCATATTACAAGGAAACACTGTTGAATGATATTAGAAAAGCTAGAGAGAAGTATCAAGGAGATGAACTGGCAAAAGAGCTGGCCAGGATTAAACTCCGCATGGATAATACTGAAGTCCTGACTTCTGACATCGTCATAAATTTACTTCTTTCTTATCGAGATATCCAGGTATGTTCCTGAGGAGAAAATAACTAAGATTATTTTCTTACTGGGGTTCACTTTATGTTGGTTTTAATTCTTGATTTCCTGCTTCTATGGGATTAAAATAAGGTAGTGCCCAAATTCAAGGACATAGGATACAAATTCCAAGTGTATTGTAGAACTGTGTATTAGAAGTATTAAATGTTAGAATTTTTAGAGGGTTTTAAGCATAGTCTCTGTTTAGTTTTCCTGTCTCAGAGGAGGGGTATTCACTAAGTCATGGAGTAGCCAATGTACGGCACAAATGGCATGGACAGCTGCTGTATGCAGCCAGATTAAAGAGGGAGCAGGTAGCACAGTGGTAGATAATACAGGGGGGCAGAAGGCAGAGCATCAGATCAGGCAAGGGAAGGGAATTGGAGCGGCACTCAGGGAGGGAACGGGGTTTAATTTGTGGCACACCAGTCAAAAATGTTGGCTCCCCCTGCCTAGAGGACCATATGAGGTCTCTTCCATCCAAATATGTCTAACTTCCCTGTTGCTACACCTTTTAAATCTAGAAAAATTATTTTAATTAGTTTTCAAGTTTTTAGTCCAAAATATAACAGTTGGAAACTAAGGAAAGGTATTTACTGTGATATTGGTATTTGCTGCAAGAATCCAGACCTACCATATTTCAGTATGGCTACAAAAAGGAACATCTGTTTATTTAAAACATAAAACCTAAATAAAACCTTTTCAGTATAATTTCTTCAAAAATGTTTTTTGTTTAAAAAAAAAAAAAAAGGCTTCTGTTGCCATACTTCCTAACTATCCATCTGTGTGAGGATCTTCCTTCTTAATAGTTATTTTCCTTTATTCTTTAAAATACAGCATGAGTTGTCCTTACAGCAACACTTTTGCCACCATATTAAGTATCCGTCAATTGTAATTGGGCTGAGAGAGAGATCACTATATGGTTTTGCATTATTTTAGGGTATTGCACACTTAGCACGTTTTATTTAGATTGTAGTAAGCGTTAATATAACTTTTTAAAAGTTTCCTGAGCAGTCGCATCTTAATGCTTCCTATGATCTAAATATAGATGTTAGTACTAAACTGGAGTCTTGAAGTGGCTCTGGTACAATCCCAGGGCAGAGACTGAAAATTTGAGAGGGCTAGGATCAATGCTCATGGGAGCCAATTCAGCACTCAGGTGCAATGTGGGGGCTGAGAGCAACACTGGCATGGCATGGGAGCTAGTCCTAGTGCCCCTACACTGTACCCAAGCCTTGAACTGGTCTGTGTGCAGGCCAGGTGCTGGAATGGCTCTGTGCTGTGCCAGTGTCACTCCCAGACCCCTCACTGCACTGGAGCTTTGAATCGGCACAGCTCTGGTGTGGTGGTACAGGGCCTGGCAGCCCAACAAAGTTTGTTGGGCACCTCCCTATTCCACTAGATCCTTTCTAGTTCAAGTTTCTAGTGCAATAAGGAGGCTGGGAGCCTGACAAACAGCTTTGTCAAGCTCCCCTGCCCCCCCGCCCCCCAGCACCAGAATCCCTTGATCACATTGTGTCTGTGAAGCAGATGACCATTAGGTCTACACATGTTAGGTAATCAGATCTGGAGATAGTCCTTACTGGCAAAGGCCTGACTTCATGATGTTACAGTGGCACTTAGCTTGCGCTTCACTGCTTGAACACTTGGACACTAGTGTTATAAGTACAGTCAGCATATGCTAAGTATAATGTGTAACAATACACTTACTCTCCATTTTGAGCACCCTTTTGTCCTATCACGGTGCATTCAATTTTAGTTTAATAACATATGACTAACTTTATACTTGCTTCATTAGCTTTAGGCATTCCTTCTTACCCTTTTGTAAGCTGTTTTCACTAGATTCATAGATTCATAGATTGTTAGGGGCTGGAAGGGACCTTGTAGATCATCAGGTCCAGCCCCGCGCCCCCTGCACTAGGCAGGAAGACAGCTAGGGTTAGGTGATCCCAGCAAGGTGACTGTTCAGTTTCCTCTTGAAAACCTCCAGGGTAGGTGACTGCACCACCTCTGGAGGGAGTTTATTCCACAGTCTGGACACCCTGACTGTGAAGGAGTTTTTTCTGATATTAAGCCTGAAGTGGCCTTCTAGGCCTGGGCCACAGTGCTTGGTCATTATTACATAAGCTAATTTGATTAAACTTCCAAGTGAAGATGAGGTCTGAAAGGGCCAGATTCATAGCTGCTGCTAAGACTAATACCACTCAACTGCAAATTTTATAGAATGCTTTGGTTTAGTGGTCACTTCTGTGATTGATTGTGGATTTTTCTTACACTATATTAGGACTATGATGCTATGGTGAAACTGGTGGAAACATTGGAAATGCTGCCTACTTGTGACTTAGCTGACCAGCATAATATTAAATTTCACTATGCATTTGCATTGAATCGGTAAGAATAACTGTATTTTTATATTCCCTGCAGGTGTATTTGTATGTGTACAAATACGTTTGAGGTGTGTGAGTAAAATTTTTCTCCTTCATCCCTTCCACATATGATATCTATGAGAGAAATGACTTTGCTGCACCCAAGTGTTAGTTTAGTTGTAGCAGGACAACTTTTAAATAGGACTCTCAATTAATCACAGTTAACACTTGCAATAAATGCATTAACTGGTTCTTGCATTCATTTTTTTAATGCGTTAATTGTGGACATGGCTTTGGAGCCCATGCCTGGGCTCTGCTTCACCACCTCTGGGCTGCCCAATGTGAAGTGGTGGCTGCACAGAGGACTGCAGGATGCAGGCATGCACACAGATATAGACAAGCAGCCACAGCCTGCACAATATATGTAGAGCAGTGCCACACTGGGAAGTCTGTGGAGGGGGAGGGGCCAGGGGAAGAGGCAAGGGGTAGGGAGCGGGGGAGGGGGAGGGGCAGGTGCTGGGGTGAATGGGGCCCTGAGGTTGTGGCAGGTCCTGGAATGAAACTGTAGGTGGCTTGTCCAGTTGCTTGGAGGGTGGGGTGCGGCTCCTCACCACAATGAGCACACCCAGGGGACACATGGAGGGCGTGTTCCCCAGATTTGTGCATGGGGCAGAGGCAGGCTGCCTGCTGTGGGTTGGGGCTCTGCACCCTGCTGCCCTTGCCCTTGGAGCTGCATGACACCATGTTGTGCTTCCTGCAGCTGGGCAGACTTATCTGCTGGGCACTGTGTGTGTGTGTGTGTGTGTGTGTGTGTTTGTGTTTGTCTCTCACTTCCAAGCCACAGCTCCACCCCACCCCCCAACCCTGCTGCTGCCCCTCACTCCTGACCCACAGTACCCTGCATCCTGCCAGGGCATGTGGGCCCCACCTCCGCCCAGGCTCCAAAGCCCCCACACACCCCCACAGCCCCCCACACCTTCACAAATTCCCCCAACACAAAAATACCCCACTCCCCAACCATACAAAGTACCTGCATAATTTTGCATAATTTTGAGGGGGTTTTTCTGTGGATAATTTCGAGTTTTTGGCTGTGCAATTAAAATTGTAGTTAATTGCAACTAATTTTTTTAATCATGCAACTAATCATGATTTTTTTTAATCATTTGACAGACCTACTTTTGAAGTTTAAAATCTCAAAGAATCTTTCAAAAAGTCACCAACTTGTAAAAGAGGCTGCCACAACATAATGGATCTCATCCAGAACCCACTGCAGTCAATGGGAAAACACCCATTAAATTCAGTGGGCTTTGGATTAGATTCATATTACTTAAATGCTTGAGTTATTGGTTACCTCCATGTCTTAATAGTTTAGCAAATTAGAATCATGAGTGAGTTATTGAAGTAATAAGTAACAAGTAGTAATTGAATTGCAACTCATGGGTTATAATGGAGGAAGTAAAGCTCATTTGATCTTGATGGTTTTTACCCTCTCCACCTCTCCCGGAGCAACAAAGGTAGATTTTCTGCATTCTCTCTATATTCTTCTGAGCTGTTTTAGGTTCCCAGAGCATTTACTCTCTGCTGGCTTCTACGTTTTAAACTTCTTATTTTAAGAAAGCTTTTAGCTTGCTTTATGAAAAACAGGGCTTATCAAAATAAATAATATCAGATTTCTTGTATTTTATTTTTTATTTGAAATCACAAGCGTGAGTGGCGAAGGTAGCTGAATAAATGTAAAATGCCTAGGTGAGTTGTAAGGCTTTTGAGTACTAGTATACTTCATTCTCACTAAAGATTAGCACTATGCATTATATAAATAACATACATTACAGAAGATTAAGACCTGACCAACTAATAGTTCTCAAAAATACTTTTCATTTGGGAATCCACATCAAATGAACCTTGTTTCAGTGGGGTTCCACAGCCATCAGTGGTAGACCTGAGAGTAGTGAATGTTTATTTTCAGCAATGGCTGTTGTTTGGTAGAATCTACAAATGGACATCAAGTTTGGGAAAGGGATAAAAAGTTATAAGGAGAGGGCAGTAATACAGTGTGAACCTATTTGCATGGTCCCATTCGAACAAGATGTGTTAGAATTCAGCCAAATACAAGATTGTACATTCAGTAAGAAAGAACACAGGACGTGTCTACAGAACTGGGGAGAAGGGCTTGTTCTGGAGATGTAAAGGATTTAGGGGTCAAAGTACACAAACAACTGAATAAGGTTTTCCAGTGTGAGGCTGTTGTGAAAAAAAAAAAAAAGAAAGGCTAATGCATTCCTCAGATGTATGCATACAGAAGTAATGAAGTAATTTTACTTCTAGACATGATATTTATGGGATTGATACTGTTAGATTGTGTACAGTTTTGGGAAGAGTACAGAAAAGAGAAATAAATATTATATGAGGACTGAAAAACTGTACAGTGAGAGACTTTTAAAGCGACCTGTTTACCTTATCAACAGGGATCCAGGTTTTCTCTGATGACCAAAAAAAAAAAAAAAT